CCTAGAATTAATTAAGAAGGAGAGTGTGTTCGTACATGTGACGCCTTCACGAAAGCTTGCTCTACTTTAAGTCGATATGCAGCAACAACTATTGGAACACAGAGCGTCAGACGCCCACCAAGTGAGTAACAAGCTAAGTTGGTGAGCCCAATCACTTATGCATTACAGTAAATTAGCTAATAGCAAACTTGTATGTTCTGCGTATTTGCATCCCGATTTGTTGTTCTTCCTGGTTACTGCAGATCATCATTACCACTGACAACCTGCTCACAGTGAAAGTTTGAAAGTGGCAAACGATGTGTATGATATTGATACTGATGCTGATGAATATGGGGGTATGACAAAGCGTAGCATATATAATGGAGGAAAAGCTGATCTGAAGAACAAGATAAGATGAAAATTATTTTCCGCCTATATTTTCTAAATTTTTCGAGAGCCAGTTTGATTGGGACTATTGCTAAAACACCATATCAGACCTAGTAGGTGCCCAGTATCCGCACAATGCTCTCAGCCGCAAAACATTTACAAGTGATACAAGTGAATAAAACTTTTTACTTTTGTTGCAGTCCTAATCTACGTTCATATTTTTGTGGCTCACTAGATTTCATTGTTTACCGAGGCAACCATGCCTCTGGCTGAAAAGTCCTGTGGGATAATTTTCCAGCATTGCTAAGACACCGGGATGCCTAAATGCGGCTTAAAAGTTTGGACTGATACTCCCAACTTAATTGCTTGATTGGTTTAGTTCATCAGGGTCGGGTCATAGCTTTCGAAAATTCCATCCCATTGTGCGAATAATGAGCGCCGGCTTGTTAAGTCATGTACACCCTGGTTTTTGTCTTCTGCTTGCCCAGCCTGCTTAGCGGAATTTCCATACACTTAGCGAGCAGCCTGTATTTCTCCTCAGAAACAGTCTGAAATGATTGTGAGTGAATGTTATCTGAATGAAACATCCCCCTTGTTCAAGTGCCTGATTATTAAGGTCGTCTTCTGTGGGAAACGCGAAACCGAATTCAAAGAACGCAACGAGGAAATGCGCAATGCATCTTTTGGTGAATTCCAATATTCCGAATAGGGAGACATGATTTTGGAAGACTGACCAAGGACCAGCAAACAACCGAGGCGGTTAACAACAATGAATATTGTTGAACGTGCAATAAGTCAAATGTTGGCTATTTCAGTCCCGTAACAGAAATATGATAACTCTATCCAAATAGCCTGCAGTGGATTCACCATAGCCACCACCACACCAGTGGTAACCCTACAGACTCGCAAATTTGGAGAATAGCATTCAGCATTGCTTTTGATTTTCACAGAACAAGGGGAAACGTGTAATATTCTGATAACCACAGATTTCAGAACCCAGTCGACTTTGTTGCAGAGCGTATGCCAAATCAACGCTCGTCCGCATTCGTTTAAGTAACTCCCCTGTAAAATGATAGAAAATTAATGTCACATAACACGGCACGATCAACCACCACAAAATGAGTTCAAGATTCCTCCAAGTTGGTCCTTTGCACTGTTATTCGTGGGATATTCCGTCGATTGATGCTTCTAAGAAAACTGAAGGGTCATCTGGTGGGTGTCTGACTTAAAGCGAAAAAATCGGACAAAAGCGGGACTAAGAGAACGCCTCAACACTCGAGTTGTGTCACTTGCTTGCTTTTAGAATCTCCTAAAAAAAGTGATTCCTGTTGTAAGATTTTACGGTCTCCAATGTTCGTAATCCTTGATCACAAGTTTAGATCAACTCAGTGTAGAATGAGTACCGTACCGTCAGTAGCAATCAGGTTGTGTGAGCAAAATTTCACTTACTGGTTCTCAATTAACTGACTTATTATATATATATCATATATATATATCATATATATATATATATCACATATATAATCAAACTGAAAAACAAAAATAATCCCACCAAGGTTGAATATAACCAGAAAAACAATGAATGTGAAACTTATAACCACACACCTATTTTTACAAGCGGTCACTGAAATACATTAAAAAAAGGCTTTATGATTTTTTCGCTTTGAAGACTTCACCCGATAGATTACACTCCTCTACTGATAGTTACAATGCTCAGAAGGCAAATCATATGTAGTTACCTAAAAAACTGGTGTGTTGCTAAACGGACGCTGTAATATAAATGTGTTCATTAACAAGAAGCTTTTGCTGATTTCTAAGAAAACACGATATTTTTGGAAAATCAGAATAAATACCAGTGTTGGAACTGAGACAGTTCCATAAAGCAATAGAGAACGTCAAACAAAGAGCGTGAAACTTGTGGAATCAAAGCCTCTGAAAAGTCCGAATGACCCCTAAATACTAAGTAACATAAACCCAGCCAACAGCTATTCAATAGGTTCAATCAAGAATGCCGAAAGCAAGTCAATCTAGAATTTTCGCCAACGTGGGAGCTTTGAATTTGTAGTCAGACAACCTCTGTACAGGCGTTCATGCTCACCTACCCAGATAGGCATACCTCAACTCAACGTGATTCTCAAGCCAAGTGTCAATTCCAGCGATAAATAGTCATTTACCATGACCGCCCCAGATTCACTGCTTTGATCAGGTTTATCTGACATCAATATCTGAGCCAGAACCAGCGACGCGAAAGAATTACCTTTTTTGTTAAAAGCCGTCAAAGATAACGTAACTTTTCAGTCTATATATGGTCTACGTCTACCGATGGCTATGTTCCTGAATACTGTTTGTGAGTTGATATTTGTACCATAAAATAGTATGGCCTCCACATCCAAACCTTCACGCATGATGAAAGCCAATAGACTTGGATCTCCGTACTCCTTGTAATTGTTCATCCTCAGTCTGATAAACCTTGTGATAAGTGAGAAATGAGACGTAATCGATATATAGTAATTCCCCCAACGGAGAAAAAATACCATAATTTTATTTACAAAACAGAAGGAAGTAGCCACCCTGTTTACACCTAGTTTTACGGCAGTTACAAGCCCCCGAATAGTACAGACTAAAAGGAAACCAAAAAACAAAGTCAAACGAGCCATCGTTTGAGTGACTGGGATGACACTGCCGAACTCATGCTCTGCTGAACAACAGGTCGAAAGAATAACTCGCCGGGTCGATCACCCTCACCGAAGTCCGAATCAGGCTTGCGTGTGTGACAACTGATGTTTATTTCATCTGACTGGTTGACTATTCACATCATTGTCATGGTGCCGCAAGGTTTTTATGCTTAAAGCGAGAACCACCGTGACTGTAAAATTGTTTTGGCCTTTTAGAATGCTTCAACTGGTGAATTTATTGAGTACTATGCATGATCAGAAGTTGCCTATATGTAGCGTATTCAGTCCCCACACGACTTTTGTGAGCAAGATCGGTCATTGTATCAGTATTCCATTATTCAATATCGAGTCACCATGAGTACAGTTTATCAATCCTGCTATTCATCTACAATCATTGACTTGTTGCCGGCTTCCTAACCATCTGGTGAGACGTCACTTATAATTGTTCGCTCCTCCATGCAGCGATATCTAGCTTCTAATCAGTACATAGAAACCATATCAAATTAATTCGTCGACCACATTTACTCACACTGTCATATCCTGAAAAACACGTTGTACCTAGAAGTTCACCTTGCTCATATCGATGTCGTACTGCACTAGCATACAATGAATCGTTCCTCTGTGCAGAACAGTCGAAGATGAACTTTGATTGTTGGTCTTCTATGGATGCACTTAGCGTAAAACTCTTCGACGTATTGCTAAAGAAAATATGAAAAATCGAAACGAGTAAAATAGCCTCACAGAGATATGCGAATGTGTAAACTTCATGAAACTCCTGAAGCAAAGACAATGCAAATCTTGCGCTAATTGACGAGAAAAAACTGTTCAACAGGTCTTGTGGTCCCAAAGTTTTACATCCAAGAATTGTTGCGAAATCGATTTCATGGAAATCCATACTTTTATGCACTTTTATTTGCCCTGATCTTCATCGAGCGGTTCATTGAAATGTATTTACAACCCTTGAGTCGAAGAAATCTATCACACATTTAAGTTCATTGCATACCTAGTAATACTTTATCAACTGTAGTTTATCCGCACACTTCACTTCAAGTAGTGGTAGCTTGATTCTAGCTTTTGACATCTATTCAATAGCAATTTTAAGAATAAGACACTTTCTGGTAACTGGTAGATCTCAGTTAGAGCTTTTAGCCAACCTGAAGTGCAAAGGAAAATTCCAAACACTGACTCAAACTTACCTTATTATTCATCTCTTAATTAGCCGTTCAATAAACAAAAATCTTGCAATAGCTACAGAATCTACACACCTTGCATTTTCGCGAGTCCGTTTATCCTACACCTTTGAAAATGATTAACTGCATAACAATGCGTAAATCATTTAGAGAATAAACCGATGAAATAATGTCGCCGAACTGGATATGTAAATAACTGCATACCAGTGAATAAATTTTTCCAAACTATACATGTTAAATTGGTTGGCAGACATGGTGGCATGTACGAAACTTGGGATACGAGCTCAAATGCAGCCAATAATTTCCTTCAGTGCCTAGCGCATTTTTGTGGGGTGAGAGTTCATTGACATGCCGGAAGAGAAGTTAATATTATGATATCTGTTATGTAGCCAAGGAACAAGTATCCTGCGGTCGGCAATACACAATGAAAGTCGAAAGTGACAAGACAAAATAGGCACGAACAGTTCCTCACGATTATTCTTTCGGAGCAGAATACCACGTGTCATTTTAGATTTTGCAAGCTGGCCATCATCAGTGAACACAATTAGACAATGCGATTCAAAGTTCTGACACTTTTTCGCAGAATTCCTCGAAGAAGACTTCCCATCACCTTCTAAGCGTAATACCAATATACTTGAAACTTAAGACAAAACAGGCGAACTATAGTTATAATTTTTACACTCATGTTGCCTATCTATGAGAGACAGCTGGTCTGTAATTTCCACAAAGCCGTCTATCGGTCTCACTCTCTCTCTCACTTTTCCCACAGATTTCCGGTATGGTTTGCTCCATGATGCTGTGTTGTGCGCTAAGAGAGATCAGCTAAATGCTTCACAGACTTGCGATATTCTGAACTTCACTTGTTCGTCCCCTGACGCAACGCTTGTGCCCGGAAGAATTGCGAAGAACACACTGTGCATGCATCTGTTAGACTAATAACCATGTTATGCTCACATTTGGACATTTAATGAATGCGTTTATTGGCATATTTACAGAATGAGTCCTCTATGACATTAAGGTATTTAATGCTGAGGCGCTGCGCTACACCAGAGTTCCTTTGTAACACTAGTATTATTGAAATTTTGTTTTCGCCAGAACAATTTTAGAGACCTGGATGGACCTATTCACATGAAAATTAAACATAGAGCGTTTTTATTTGAATGCCTTTAAACGCTGTACTAATGTCCTTGTTTGACCCAGCAGTATTATAAAGGCGTAGGAATGTTTCTTTCCCACAAACATTTTGTCTTATTTCCCAGACTGCTTCGGTCCAATTGTAACTTTTATTCTTGAATAAGTTGATTCCATTTTTAAGGTTTCAGCTGAGATTTTTATCCGCATCAGGATCGATATCCAAAAATATGATCTTGTCCCAAGCGTCCTGTAAAATTATTATGCGTGTGGTTTAGCCATAGATGTGTTATCACTGGTGAGCCATGTGTTACCAATGAGTTCTGGGTCACAGAGTTTTAATTCAAACGAACATATATAATCGATTTTTACTAAGAAGCGATAGTGCGTCAAGTTAGCAAAGGTGCTGGTTCAACTGGTTTGATTCGTCTCATATTCGTCTCGCTTACCACAGTCCATTATGCGCCTGGACACACTCCTATTTCTGGGGGCAGTGCACCACCAGCATCGCCGTCACTTGAACGCTAGTGATTTGGCGACGAGTTGGTGGCCTTAAATACGGGTCTGTCTTCTACTTTCCGAACGCGGCGATGAACTTGGTACGTTTGGATTTTCACTTCCAGAAACCGAAACATCTAACCGACTTTGGTGTTTTGGATTTCATAAAAATTTTAATTTACTCAATCCTTATTATCTTGGTACCATACTGTGAAAAATGTGACTAGTGAAATGTAAACAGCTCAGTACGAAACGTCTACAACTAATGAGGAATATAAATATTTGGAAATAAAGCTTTGTTATTTATAAGTATCTACTGTTTGAATTTGTAAGTGGAGGGCTGAAATAATGTTTGAAAGTTCAGCTTTTTCAATCTTGGAAATGGTACGTAGGTTAATCGCAGTTTCCGCAGGATTATTAGACTTGATTTTGAATACATAATCGTAAGAATATTAAGGATTTGACCGCTTTTCAGTTTGCTGGAGTAAACATGACGCTAGCTCGTGCTCTAGTAATTGAGATATATTTTCGATCCACATGCTAACTTTTAGTCCAATGACTGCCACATAATGGCAATAATACAATGGTTAGTTGGCTGCTTGTTACCTGGCTACAGCGTCGAATTCAAAAGTTTGAAGGAACAACAACACTCATCAGATGATCGTTTAGGTTTTCGGATTTCCGTAATACTTATAAGTGAACTTTGTAGCGGTGCTCGAGGCTCTCTGTACCTCACTTCATCCTACGTACCACTGCATATTTCGACTTTTAGTATACTTATGGGATATGCACACCCTTGACACAAATTAGCTTGATGTTCATGGGGGTCCCAACTGAATCTTAGCTGGACTTCTCATTCGATACACTCTTCAGTTGTTGAAACACAGTTACTTTAAAATGAACGGCAAAGTTATGCAGCCTGACTTCAGGCATAAAATTGATGGAAACTCGGGCACTGGGCCAACCTGGTAAGCCACAAGAAGGGTGAAACAAAGCGTTTAATTTGGAGGAATTTTTAGCAACCCTATGAGTAGAGTGCCCCGCCAACCATTCTCAAAATAGGGTTTCTTGTCATTCAGGACGGACTAATTTCGCTCTGTTGCAGAATTTTGTTCTGCTGGTCATGTGTATACCATATGTTGTTGTAAATGAAATTCCTAAGAGGTCAAACGAAGTGGTGTAGCAGAGTGACAGCTTTTTCAAGTCGCAATTCTGTTGCACTAATATTTGCCCCCGATGCAGATTCGGAAGAAGAAATTATTGCGCTTATCATCCCGCTTGATTTTAAAAATTACAAGAAACAAATAGTTTAAGCAAAATATCCGTTTTGATTATTGTTTGAATAAAGGTAAGAGTATCAGTACTTTCTCTTAAGGTTCGAAAATCATATTTTTGCTAATTATACGACATACGCGTACACTTTGATCCCCATTAGCCAGTAAGGACTTTTCTTTCCACCGTATTAGGTCAGCATTCACGGGATCCGTATTTTCACATTCTTTTCCTGTTTGTGTGCCTCTGGTGCTTGCTACATTTCTTTGCGTTCAAAGATTATATGTACACATTGCTGTACCACGCCGTTCTCTTCTTATAGAGCTATGCTGTCAAAACTGATGTCGAATGAGTTAGACTGACACATTAGCGGCTTTCTAGCGGATAATTGGTTTAGCGGTCTACGTCGAGCAATAACAGAAACGGCATGACGTGATTCTCACAGGCATCAGCATCGTGCTAAGTAAACTCAACACCCATGGAGAGAATATTAACCGTTGGGTACTTTTGTGAAGTACATACAACTGATGATTTGCAATGGGGATAAAACAGCTGTACTGTTCTGCACTGCTCAAAATGAAGCAGTTGCACTTATAGGATAAAATCTTCACAAAGAATAAACATTTCGTTTATTTGATTTTAGTAACTGCTCATCAACAGCGACCTATGATATTCCGGTAGTCTCTACTAGCGTTATTTACCGAGGTGCTCAACTGCTAAAGCATGTTAACCTATGATATCCGGTAGTCTCTACTAGCGTTATTTACCGAGGTGCTCAACTGCTAAAGCATGTTATCATAAATTCGAGTCAAGCCTCTGGATTAAATTAGAAAGCAAAAATATGACTTCCTCAAGCTTTCTGGGCAACATATAAATAAGGGGTCAAGAATCACCAAAAACACGTATATATATATATATATATATATATAACCTCTAGTAACCAAACTCCACAAGTAATAGCAAGGCATCTATGTGATTTTGTGAAACGCACTCATTCTTCATTAAAACTTTCAGCATTCTCTAAGGAATGTTGAAAAAACCATTTTGGTCTATCCGGCCAAGATGTAGGCCCTCAATCTACTTACAGCAGGCTAACCTTGTCGCATATTTAACAGAACACTATTTGATATCTCGGTAATCTCGCAAAATCTTATATACTTTGGACCTCAAGCGATTATTTAGGCTTCAAAAAGGGATTGGATCCAAAAGGACAAATGACCATTACTTCTTCCTAGTTGGCAAATTGTTTTCATGTCCCTGATATAGTAAATCCGTACTCGCCCAGGCGTTTGCACGGCACAGCATGTCATTAAAAAACCTGGGCTCGGAGGAGATTCCATGAACAATGTACAACGAATGGCTTTGAAGATTCCAGCTGCATAAAAGTCTCCAGAACTGGCATTAAACTCTGTTGTTAACAATTTCCTCAGTAGATTACGGTAAAGCCGTTAGCAATAGAGGTTCAGACCACATACTGGGTCCTAGTCGGTTTAAACTGTCTAACAATTGAGCTCTAAGCACCGTATTCATTGTTTGAAGATTAGAATGCGAATTCAAAAGCACAGGCACCAATTATTTATGTGATTAAAGCCTCACACAGATCACCCAAGTTTAGTAGGAACAAATTACAATCGGAATAGGCTACTTACCGCTTATGCATACCTAAACCTCTTCTTAACCAACAGTCGATGAAGTTGTAACACAATTGACCAACCCAGAAAACTAGAAACCTCCATGTGCGCTGCATCTGTTTGCCCCTCACCCATCAGAACACTCATGAAAATATTGCTACCTGTAAGGGTATAATGAACCATGCATCTAAAAATCCCAACCATTACCCACAAGCTACACAGATAGCTGTCGATATGAGCTAAATTTGGAAACCCAGCAGAGAGTTTTTAAAGCAGAAGCACTTTCGATTTTTTTCTATCTCTGGAATTAATGGGGGCAACATTCTTTTAGACCTGGAAGTAGGAACGCAGGGGATGTCGAAGGTTCCAGCCAACTGTTCCAAATGTACCAATTATAATTCAGCACTATTTAAGTAGCATATTTGAAACCCAGTTGGAACTGAGAAATGCTGGCCACCTATAACATAAAGAAAAGTTTTTTAATCTCCATAAGTCGTTTCAGACAGACCAATAAATAGATATATTGCGTAGATTTATTGGTGGGAAATATAGTACGTTTCTTCTCGACAAATGCTGGAGGTCTAATCCAGTTCATTGTGGCAGCCTCAACAAATTTTGCAATCGTCTCACCACCTGTTCATGAGTAATATGAGTATATATATATATATA